TTTATCTACAATGTAACAAGGGCAAAGGATAAAAGTCAAATTGTCTAGAGTGCAACACCACATAGCAGTCACAGTAGCAATAGCTGGAGGATCAAACATTATCCATCGCATATATATCGCAAAGTATCTAGAATTCTAAATTCATCGAACCTCTTTATTGGGTGTAAGGTGGACCCAAATCATTATGCTCACTAACAGCCACCAAAAATGAGTTATATTGGCAAAGCATAAATTGGCACTAGAATTTGCTTTTGGGTGTAAGGTGGTCACACATTTTTGGATTGTTTAATCAGACTTAATTTGTTAATCATGCACTGCTCCTCCTTTAAAATCATAATCGTCACTTTAGAAATAAAGCCTTAGTGCATCTCTTTTCCTTTCCAAAGTTCCTTACTACATTTCAGGACATAGATCAGTATTTTCCCATGCTTTAAATTAAATTAGCCAACATGCATAGGACAGAGACAAATATCTAAGGACAGATGCCTCTAAAAAGTAGATAGTAACATCACTAGTGATCTAGCGCCGATCTAGACTATCTTTTTAGGAATATTACTCTTACTAGAATTCCACTGAGAAGAGACAAATGATGCAACATTCAATTAGATAAAGAACAAGCTACATAGATCTATTCGAACAATAGCACTTAACAATCATCAGCACTTCAATATAACATTCTGTAAGCACATATTCTGCAGGAGATGAAGGGCATCAGCAGCAATAGTAAGAACCGTGTCTCTTTACGAGGAGAAAAGAAAAGAGACTAGAAGGATCATTAAATAAAGGGGAAATTAGTCCGGAAAAATAAAAAGTTGTAGATCATTGAATATGAAAGAATAGTAGAGCACATGCTCATAACAAAAGCCTAGGGAGGTAATGAGAAATCAATTATAGCAAAATATAAAACCATGAGGCAACGCGAAATACCTAGAAATTTTAATAAAAGCTTGAGTCAACATCGCAATAACTACAACTTATCAAGGAAAACAAACAGAGCTAAATTACGAGTCCACAAACAAAACAAAAAGTCCTGCGTAATAGATTAGTAAAGAAATGAAGCAACACCGGCTACAAACTTTACAGGTTGTGAATTGGAAAATATGTCAAATTGCAAAGCAAACAAAATTCAAATCATACAAACAAAGGCTAAATCTTTTTTTTGAGAATGACAAAGGCTAAATCTTTACCATATGTTCATTAGTACGACCTATGATAAAATGAGCAAAAACCAGCAGTGCACCTTCCCATACCATCGGAAAAAAGGATCTATTCAGACAAAAAGGTACACCATACAAAGTTCAATAGAGAAAAAACTTTTCCTAGTGCATTTCCATATTCAGTGTATTAAGACAAACTTTTATCTGATTTGATTATTTGAGTTAATCTCTTCCAGAGGGAAGAATCAAAACAGTCAACTAGCATGCGTGGACTTTGATAACTATGATTTGAAGATCAAACCATAAAAAAACTAATGATGAAAGTACTCCAGATTTTTGACAAAAACTCCAATATGCTCTACCATCACCATTTTACCGGCTATAATCTTAAATTTATCAGCACTGACTTGATCTAAGACGCATTCGTCATTAAACATGGTTTTTTGTCCATCAACACAACCAAACCATGTTGTTTTTCAGTCCTTACCTTCTGTTCCTAGATTCTAGTTTCTGTCATTATTATTGCAAATCTATCTTATTTAAGTAAAATTTACTCTGGATTAAACATTATTTTCCAGTTGCCTAACATTTTACACTTATCGTCACATGATTCTTCATTAGATAATATAATTCTCCTTTCAATTTCATTGAGTACATCTATTTATAGTAGGCGAATGTACTCTGCCACTTGGCCGATCTATTTCCAGTGCATATATGTTGAGTTATTTCTGCATCTTTGTCAATATTCTGCCAAGTATCTAATTTATTGTTTCGAGGGTATTTCTGACTCCCAAATAATGTACTCTATTTATTCAAATTCTTTTGCATCTAGCTCGTCTTCTAGTTAAATCTTCTTTAGATACAACTTCAAAGTTGAAATATGAATAAGACAAGATGACTAATGCCAATGATAAGGAATAGTGGTTTCTCTTTATTAAAGAAAAAAGGAATAAAGATGTCTCTTGTCAAATTTAAAGGAAAGAACAAAAGAACAGTTTAATAAATTAGATGACGACTTTACCACAACAGTTTATCGACCTATTCTTCATTGTCACACTCATTTTTTAAGTCAATAACCAACACATCATCATCCTCACAACTACAACCTACCCATTAGTATCAAACAGACACAATATCTAACAAAATGGAACTTACAATTACATAAATAGTAGTACTAATACCTACCCAATACCTAATTCATCACTAATTATCCATTATCAAATATCACTTACTTGAGCATCAATTAAACAATCCAAGAAAGGCAAGATCATTCATAGCCATATATCAGTATAACCAACTGAGATCTCCAAAATTACAAAAACAAACAACTCTACCAATAATAACAAGAACGCAATCAACTTCCAGAACAAATGCAATCTTTGAACTCACAGAAAGTGGAGTCACACAAAGACACATTTTCTGTCTGGAAAACCAAATGGGTATCTCTAAAAGTTGAAGAAAAGCAATAATTTCACCAAGAAAGAGAGCAATCAACTTCAAACACAGACTAAACATGCGATGTTTAACTTCATACATCAGGAAACCAAATGGGTATCACTAAAAATTGAAGAAAACAATAATTTCACCAAGAAAGAGGGCAATCAACTTCAAAAAACACTGCGAAAACTCACTTCATACATCAGGAAACCAAATGGGTATCTCTAAAAGTTGAAGAAAAACAATAATTTCACCAAGAAAGAGGGCAATCAACTTCAAACACAGACGAAACATTGCGAAAACTAACTTCATACATCAGGAAACCAAATGGGTATCACTAGAAATTGAAGAAAACAATAATTTCACCAAGAAAGAGAGCAACCAACTTCAAAAAACATTGCGAAAACTCACTTCATACATCAGGAAACCAAATGGGTATCACTAAAAATTGAAGAAAACAATAATTTCATCAAGAAAGCGAGAGCAATCTAACTTCAAAAAACACTGGGAAAACTCACTTCATACATCAAAAAACCAAATGGGTATCACTAAAAATTGAAGAAAACAATAATTTCATCAAGAAAGCAAGCAATCAACTTCAAACACAAAGGAAACGCCAAGAAACCAAATGGGTATCAGTAAAAATTGGTGAAAAAAATTACCATCTCCTTTGGTACGTGAGGATCCAACGCAACCCATTGTAACAGAGTCGCCCAAAAATTGAGTATTCAAGAACACCTGAGCCGATCTCGGGAATCAAATTCGCAGTCAATTATTGACAACTGAATAAAATGTTGATGGAGAGAGTTTAATATGCAAAAAGGGGAAATTTTGTGCTTCTTTAGAGGAGTATTATTGCGTGCTCACAACTCTCCCAATGACAGCTATGTAGTGCTATATATATAGTTTTTTCCATTTCTCTGATTTTGGGTGAAATTAGAAACTTCTTTTTCTACGGAGAAGAAGAAACACGAAAGTTTAGAAGAAACCAAAAGCGAGTCCACCGTCATTCAATTCTTTATTTTATATTTTATTTAATTAAATCACATTAAAAACAAATATTATTTACTAAATCAAAATTATAACTAAATGTAATTTCATCCCCAACTCAAATTACAACAATTTCATATAAAGTGAAAAATATGTATAAAAACCATTGTATTTAAAATATTCAAACCACTTCTATAGTTTTACAATTTTAGTCACAACCAAGATCTATAAACATTTTCTCTTTTTTTTTTAAGAAAATAAATAAATCTTTTTATATTTTGAAAAAGTTTGTCTAACAAAAAAACAGTTTATATTTCTTTGATATTTTATGGCAAAGTAATTCTAAATGCCAAAAAAATTAATGTATGATTTACAATGTTTTTTCTTCATAAAATAACTTGTTTAAATGTTGATTTTGGATTGGCAAAAAAATTAGTTTATAAAGATTTTTGTGTGTGTGTGAATGAAAAAGCTAAAGATAACGAAAATGAACTCGTTTGAATTGACTTAAAAAAGTAATTTTTAATAGTGCTAAAAAATGATGAGATGATTTTTTTTATAGCTAGTATAAGAATAGATTTAAATGGTAATTTGTAAGTATCTTTTAATTATGAATTTATGACTAAGGCATTTGATTACGTAAAAATCTATGCAATTGTAAGACAAATATCATGCACATGGGTGGGAACTTTCACCTTTTTGGAGGCTTTTTGCATTTCGTATTGTATTGTGTTGTATTGATGATTTAAATATAGAAAAAAAAAATTGATCAGAAAATTTAGTTAGAATTTGACCAGAATGATATTTTATCTATGTTATTTTTATTCTTTTGAACATTTTTATCCTTTTAACTTAATACCTTTTAATTTTAAAAATGGAAAAAATATCAATTTATTTTAAAATAAAAAAAATATTATAATATTTTAAAATTTTTGACCAAATTTTCTGGCCATTTAGCATTACCCTTAAATATAATGGGTATTTTGATTGTTACAAAACTTTTATTGTACCATATTGTTTTAATTCATCATTAGATGATAATGAAAAACTCATTTTATATAACAATTGATTTGGTGTGATCGTATGTAAAAATATTTTTTCTCATTTTGTCTTTATTTATTATTTAATAATCATATTTCATTTTTTATTCTATATTTTCATAGTAGTTCTACCCTCTACCTTATACTCTATTTTTTCCTTTTAGGTTTATCATTCAAATTATGGATGTGTACATTATGTAACAACGAAGAACTATACAATCTCTCCAACCACTGTATTCATTAAAATAGTACAATATGCTACAACGATATATTATGAAACAATACGTAACAGTCATTCAAATAATAGTGTATTCTTATTTTTAATAGCTTAATACATAAATAAACATGTTTTTTTCACTTGGCATTAATTAATATATATACCCATCGATTTAAGATCTTCATTAGGGTCGTCCAGATTAGAGTTCTCCAACCCATATTGTGATGTACCATTTTCTCTTTTAGTAATCCGTTCATTCATTCGTCTCCGAAGAACAAGCAGCAGAAGCAGAAGCAGAAGCTTCAGGACGTGGTTTTGAAGCTTCTTCACTCAATTTATTATTATCAATAGAAGGACTAAAGCCTTGAAAATACATCCGACCTTTTATAGCCTCAGGAGGGGAAGTTTCCATCAGGTATCACCTCTTCTTCCTTCTTAGGCTTTTCCTCTCTGAGAGAAGCCCTTTGCATAAACTTCAAGTTCCTCAAGGTACCGGATAGTTCACGCTTGGCCATTCTGATTTGCAGAACAACTTCTTGGGGAACACCGAAACTGAAATTGCTTTTATTCACTTGCTATTCTTCAATTTCCGGCAGGGTGACGGCGCCGGCGCCGGCGCTAGCCTCGAAAGGAATCTCGGTATTTCTGCCTCCTTGATTTATCTTTTTTTTTTTTCAAGGTTTAGTTTTTTTATGCCAAATTTTGAAATCTGATTAATCGAATTCATCTAACAAAGCACTACCTACTTAAAATCTCGATATTTTTGTTACATTTTTTCATTCAGTATATACTTCAATTAATTTTATTTTGTATGATTTTTGATTCTCGCAATAGTTTAGGTATGAAGCAGAAAAAAAAAAAAAAAAACAGTCTAAGTTTTAGTTTTGATCTTTTAACTCAAAAGTAAAAACTTTATTTCCGTTTTCTTTTTCCAGGGAAAAAAGTTCAAAAATTTACCTTTCTATTTTCAAATATTATTTATATTTAACCTAATCATACATTTTCCAACAAATATAAGTAAATTTGTCAGAAAAATCGACAATAAAAAAATCTCGTTATAACAATCAATTGGAACTTTGTTTCCCGTCTTGTAATCCCCCAAATTTCTACTTGCAGTGCCTCCAATTGCAGCTAACCGCAAAATCCATCGTCTCCTCAAAGTGGTGCTTCTCTTTCTCTTTCTTTCTCTACTTTTCTTCCTCAAAGCTCGAGAAATTTTATTATTTTCTGTTACATTCAAAATGCTGGCTTCTAAAGGAACAACTTTCTCAGATTGTAGAGTGATGAGGACTTTATTCTCCCCCTGCAAAGTATGTAATATAACACTTTTACATGTTTAGATTTCTTTATAAACTCTCTTTATCTGCCTGTTTTGACTCGAAAATGTTGTTTCCCATTATAAAGTGTGAGAAGGTATCATTTTCCTACATATTAAGCCGTTGAATGCAGGGAACCCATGTAATTTGCCTTTTTTGCTTAAACCTCTATTAGTTTATATGTGGTTCTGGGGCATTTTTTTGACTTCTAAGTAGATATTTGCATTTCACCATTACTTAATGAAAAGGTTACAAGGTGTTTGACACACTAGTGCGAGAGTATTTTATGGAAAAAAATGATCGGTCCCTAAATCAAATTCAGGGAATTGGGGTCGTTTGGTAGGGAACAAGTTATCCCGGGATAAGTTATTCCACCATGTATATAGGATAACTTATCCTATCAATAAGGTATAAATGGTGGGATAAATAATCCAAGGGTAAAATAATTCTGCATTTTATCCTGGGATTTTTATACCTTATACCTCACACCAAACGACTCCTAAATGTGCTACATAAGGGAATCAATACCTTTCAGTTTCTGGTCCAGAGTAGTGCATAAGAAGTTTATGAACTAATCAGCTCTATAAAGGAATCAATACCTTTGATTTTCTGGCTATTCTAAATTTGACTTAAAAATGAGACCTCTTTAATCATATCATATTATTTTGGTTATCCAGATTTCACATATACCAGTTGTTAGCTTTGGACGCAAAAGATCGTTAAAAATCTACAGTGCAAAAATGGAGCTCTCAATCACACAACCTGATGATTGGCATCTTCATCTCCGTGATGGTGATGTTCTTAAGGCAGTTGTCCCTCACAGGTTTCTAGATTTTAAATACTTCAGCTGATTGTGATTCAGTTTATTCTTGATATTTTACTTCTTGTCCCACTTTGTTAAATTCGGTTTCTCTATCTTGATTTTGACTTGTTCATTTTTGCATTATTTGATAAAGTGCACATCACTTTGGGAGGGCAATAGTCATGCCAAATTTGAAGCCTCCTATCACTACCACTGCTGCTGCTGTAGCATACCGGGAGGCGATATTGAAATCTTTACCTGTTGATAGTGATTTCAACCCTCTTATGACACTTTATTTGACAGATACAACCAGTCCTAGGGAAATCAAACTAGCAAGTAAGTCCAATATACTTTTGATATAGAAATATCTTGCATTAAAAATATATTAGATGTTATTCTTCTATATTATGACTGTTTTAACGGTGCGTGTATGATATTCTTCTATGAGAGAGCATGCATGTATCTCAGGAAACAAAAATAAATTTCAGTGAATGATAATGGTTGTATTTAAGCATCAATAAGATCATGACAGAAAAGGCACCAGTAGAAAGCCAATTTGTGAAACTTTGAAGTAGAGTTGAACTTTGAGAGACATTGTAATTCTTTGTTAAATCTCATCTTAAAGCTAAGTGTAATTCCCAATTTGTTCTCAAGACATTAAAACTGAAGGCTAGATTCTTGGCTACCAACCTTTTTTTTGGTCCTTTTATTATGTCTACTTTCGTGTCAGATCATAATCCTTGAAATTTGAAGTCAGTATTACGAGCTTCTTGTCCTTTATAAAGTCAGGGTCTACTCTCCTGTGAGGAAATTTGAACTTGTCAAAAATTGTAGCATTTAAGTCGAACTGATTGTGTATTGTCATCTGGATGCAGTTTTTTCCAATGTGAATGACCCATGTTCCTATTTTTCTTTCCATGAAAGCATTTAATAATCATCTTTTTTTCCTTTTTTCTTTTGTTGTTTTATCTATTTTTTGTCCACTATTTCTGATAAAATGAGACTAATAACACAGGAGAGAGCCAGGTCGTATTTGGGGTGAAGTTGTACCCTGCTGGTGCCACGACAAATTCTCAAGATGGAGTGACTGATCTTTTCGGGAAGTGTTTACCAGTTCTACAAGAAATGGTTGAGCATAATATGCCTCTGCTGGTAATTTGATGCTAAACTTGGTGCTAACCTTTCTTCCTGTTCCACTAGAACATTGCATAAGCTCTAATGTGCATGCTAACCTTACCACCAAAAAATTGTTATTTATCACTGTAGAAAGATGCACATTCAAAGTTGTATCATGTATCTGTTGAAGCTATACATGATTAATGTTATTTCTTGCCTATGCTATAGCTTTTCTAGTTTCAGTTTATCTTGGATCGCTATAAAATAGATTCAGCATTTAACTGTAATGACTCAACCTTAATCATGTTTCTTCTTCCCCCAAATGTTCTGTCAAAGCTTGTGATTTTTGTCATTTTCCTTGAAAAAACTTCATTTTATAGGATTTTTATGTATTACATTTGACTGCAGGTTCATGGAGAGGTTACTAATCCTGAGGTTGACATGTTTGATAGAGAAAAGGTATTCATTGAAACGGTTTTAAGACCGTTGGTGCAGAAATTTCCACGATTGAAGATCGTGATGGAGCATGTTACCACCATGGATGCTGTTAAGTTTGTTGAATCTTGCACTGAAGGTAATATTTTCTACTTTATCCACCTTTTTGAACTTTAGTCTTCTTGTCGGATGAAAGAACTTCATTGACCTTCCTTTTTCAAATGCTAATTTAACCTTTCTATCATTCTTTAAAGGATTTGTTGCAGCGACTGTCACCCCACAACATCTTGTTTTGAACAGGAATTCTCTCTTCCAAGGGGGCTTACAACCGCATAATTACTGCCTTCCAGTCCTCAAAAGAGAGATCCACAGTAATATCCTTTATCCTTTCATATTGATGCTCAAATTCTCTTCTATCGCTTGGTGTTTGTCTGTTGGTTGCAAGTAACATTACTTTTAATTTTGAAAAACCGACTAGGATTCTTTGGTTAACCACCTGTAGTGACTACAAGGTCATATAGACCTTGTTTGGTTCAACAAAGGGGACAAGAACTTCATTTTTTTCTCATGCATAATGTATTTACCATTAACCTCCACTTGTTTGGTTCAACTCAACTAAAGTGGAAGAGGTTGATTTCCTTATTTCCAATTTTAGATGGTTTTGAAAAGTTGAGGAATTGCATACTTACACTTGCATTTTAACAAACAAGGTTAATTATTTTCCTTCCAGTGTGATAGGTAACTTGAGCAAATTAAGCGTATAGTGCTAGCATTCTATGCTTCTACTTCATACATGAACCTTAATAGAATTGCATTCAGTATCCTAATCAACATAAGCTGGACAATATACTAACACTATCAACAAAAGGAAAACATATCAAGCTCAAGGTCAGATGCTTAGTTCTACTTTTTTGTTGGGAAGTTTATTTTTGTCCATTCTTGGAGCTGACTCTTCCTACTTTTGTAATTATGCATCTGCTGGATGCTTTGTTTATCAATACACCATTTATTTCATCAAAAATAAAATAAAATATCAAGTTGAAGCAACAAGCTTCACATCCTAGTATGCAGGGATCCCAATGGGTTTGTTGATGTCACAGTTCTTACCTTCTCAAGCAAGCCTTTTATTGCACTCTCCAACCCTAATTTCTCCTCAGTATTAATCTTACCGTTGCATTTTTCCAAGATTGATGTCATCCCCTTCAGCTTCTGCTTGATTAGTTGTACCTGTGACTTCTCCTTATCTGCTTTCAGCGAGGAGAAGGAATCTCAGAGTTGAGGGATAACTGAGCTGAAAGTTGAATTTACAGCACCAAAAGGACTTTGCATTACTGATTCTCTGAAGGCATCTGAACCATACCTGCAGACAATCTGAACAGTGCTTGAATCAGATTGCTTTTGTTTACTCTTTATTCAGATCCCCAAACTTGTTATATATTTGGATAATTTCATCCTCTGATGGCAAAGCCAGTTCAAAATGTCACCATCAGAATCACAGATGAAGTTCCCCTACCATCATTCTCATCTTCTGTTCCTTGACTAGAAAGCCCAGATGCTTTATTGATAAACCAAGAGTGCTTTGCCATCTATTGAAAAACCATTTATGAATCACTGTTAGGTCTGTTTGACGCCAGCTTCGAAGCTTGAACTGTTTTGTTCTACCACTGTGGGATCCTGGCTATATCCATGAATGATCTTGTATTATGAATAAGCTTATTGAACCTTGGGTTGGAAGGCTTCCTCAAGAACCGCAAGATTTTTCCGACTATGTCACCCAACCCCAAATGTGGCCATCCTCTGGGATTATGATGGCAGACTTTTTGTCACCCAGCCAAGACTCAATCCTCCACATAACGACTGTAACATTGAAATTTTGCAACTTTTTAATTCTACACTTGAATCTTCCTACCCCGTGCGACGCTTGTTGAAGAATTTTGCATGCCTTTGGCAGATTCTCCTCATCAATATTGAGTCTGCTAGTGAATCGACTGCTTTATTCTACTACCGTGAACCATCTATCTTTATTGTTGCTAATATCAATAAGCTCGAATGACTCATCTCCTGAACCAAAGAAAGTTCTCTTCTTCATAACTTGAATAAGAATCATCGGAAGGGTACATCAGAGAGAGGATAAGGAGTGAAAGAGAGAAAAGAGAAATTGCACATTTTCCAAGAGAGAGCATTGTTTTAGTATAAGTTCTTAATCAAACTTTTCAGCAGAATGGTGTTGCATGATTTAACTGTAAATAGATACCTTTCTTGCTCCTCCAACAAATGTTGTCCTTGTCTGTGCATAAGGAGTAAGTCCCAAGTTAAAGAGAACTGCAGTTTCTATTAACTACCCAACCGTTGCAATGCCTTCTAAAGATGATGTTCAAGCCATTTTTGAGTAATAATCTGTTACGCATTCTGGTTGGCTGCCAGAGTGGATACACACTTGAGAGGGGTATGGCCCTGCCAAAAGCTGATTTTTCTACCATTTCCCAACTTGAAACATGTTGTATCCTATGAATTCATCAAAAGAAAGTCCAGATGCTTTTCCCGACAGAGAAACCATAACAAAAGCTAGTAAGCTTTGATATCCACAGGTGTTGCATACCATATTTGGTCTCGATGACTTATCCCGTTGTGCATTCTCACCTTTTGTGAATCTCCATAACCATTTGTTTAAGAGGCTATCATTGTGTGCTTTCAGATTCCGTACTCCAAGGCCTCCAGATTTTTATCTTTCTGGACAGTTTCCCACTTAGCATGATTAAAAGCTTTCTTGTCCCTGTTTTCATTCCAGATTCGACGAATCTTATCAATTTCTTGGCCAGAGATGTAGGAATGAGGAATAAAGAGATCGTGTAAGTGGGAAGTGAGTCCAAAACACTATTTGTGAAAACTAATCTGCCCTTACTTATACTTTGTCAAATCAAATCTAAAAGCCTATAATCTTTTCGGAATATGGCATTTTGATCTTGTTTTATGGATTATCTATAAGATATACTGTCACCATAACAAAGAAGAATTGGATTAAACAGCTATTGAGCCATCTACCCTGAAATTTTGAAAGTTGGGTAGAAGCTATATTTGCCTGTAATTGACCCACTTTTCGTGTCGAATGATCTGTTGAAAGTTTGTTCTTCTATCTGATATTTTCTTACCTCTTTATAAGAGTTGTGACTACCCAGAAATTTTGAAAGTTAGGTAGAAGCTATATTTGCCTGTAATTGACCCTCTTCTTGTGTAGCATAATTTGTTGAAAGTTTCTTCTTCTACCTGATTTCTTTTACCTCTTTGTAAGAGTTATGAAACTTTTAGTCTTACTGATGCTAATGTGTCATGAATCACTACTTGGTCAGGCTCTCTTTGATTTGCTAGTTCTATCCATTGCCTTTTGTTTTCCTAGACATGGGAACTTGTTTGAACATTTGATGCAAACACTGCTGCGAATGTGCTAAAAAAAGGAAATAAATGTATGGCCTGAATGTGCTTGTTGAAAGAAGGTGCTTCCATTAAGAATTTGCTATTATGGGAGGCATGTTTAATGAGACTTGGAAAATTACCAAGTGCTTGAGAAAAAAATCATTTTTATTAATAGATTCATTACTCGCATAATTACAAGATCTATTGCATTAGTCTTGTCCCCTTTCTCCTACTACTTTTCTCTTTTGTCTTCTCTTGTTCACTTGGTATATATTCTAATCCAAGCAAGTTTGCTTTGAATAACACAGGGGAGGCACTTGTGTCAGCTGTAACAAGTGGAAGTAAAAGATTTTTTCTTGGGACTGATAGTGCTCCTCATGATAGACGAAGAAAAGAATGTTCTTGTGGATGTGCTGGTATTTACAATGCTCCTGTAGCCTTGTCAGTATATGCAAAGGTGTTTGAAAAGGTAATTGCAATAGATATCTACAGTGCTGCTCATGTTGGACTCATCCATGTTATAATGTTTCTAATTAATAACTTCGGAAAGGTTCATTAGTTTAGTAGCTATCGCTATAAGTCAATGACTTAAATTTGGTTGTTTGCATTTTAGGAAAATGCACTCGACAAGCTCGAAGCATTTACTAGCTTCAATGGACCAGACTTTTATGGGCTTCCTAGGAACAACTCAAAGATTAAGTTGAGTAAGACGCCATGGAAGGTACCCGAATCCTTTTCTTATGCATCAGGAGATATTATTCCCATGTTTGCTGGTGAAATGCTCGACTGGTTGCCGGCTCCTCTCTGAGAGATTCCTCTTCTCATTTGTCATTCTTGTACTGTAATATTGTGATTCAACCAAAGATATAGACTGTAGGTGTATCCTTTCAGCTAATAAATTATGGAAGCAATAAGCTTTCTGGATGTGACTGAACGTAAAGCTTCGATCCATTTTAAATTAAGATCAGGTTTAGTACAGCAGGGTCACCAAAGTGTTCTGAAGTTCTTAAATTGTTCGTTTCATTTTGAAGATTTACTGATTATGCCTTCCTTGTCCTTCGTTGCTTATTATGACTTCTGCAATTTTCAAACCAAATTACGAAGAAAAGAGAGTTGTTCTCCTTTAAATAAAAACAGCATAAGTTTCCATTTTGAGTGATGTCATAGACACTAGCAACAATGTACCAGAACTATATATTTGGAGCAATTGGATATTAAAATTAATCAGCATTTGTTAAGAAAGAAAGACAAAGACACCTCGAAAAGGAAGAAGATATGCAGACATCTGAGAACCTTTACATGAACGAAGCAAAATAATTGATTAGTCATATCTTTGAAAGTTCGAATCACATTTGACAGGAATGCAGACAATATTTTCAAATTAACATATTAACAAGGGTACTACTGTATCTGAAATTCTGAATCTAACAATGTAAGAGGAGCTCAGTGAAATACTTAACCCACGGCCAAACTCCATGTATGATCTCACATCCAAAAAAAGTAGTATGCCAAAATTATGTCACAAGCCACAGCATGAAACCAGATTCCGGTTAGGTGTTAAAACTGTTCATCATATATCTTCTTTGCTTCATGCTGGCAGTTGAAGCTTAGCATTATTTTTCCAGCTGCAAAACAAATTTGTTAGTAGTTTGTTTACGTCATCAAGGGAGGAGCCACTTCAGGAAGTTTTAACAAATTGTTACCTGATGAAGTAATAATAAAAGAAATCTGCATAAAGGGCTGTCTGGACAAGACCAGAGACGCAAGCTACAAAAAAAGAAAAGGAAAATTCAACTTCAAAGAACCATTGCAAGTAATTGAAAACAAACAGTACTGGTTATGCTTCCAAAAACTTACAAATCCATCTAGTGAAACGCTGCTCTGTCAGATAGCGGTAAATCCAGTTTAAGATGTAAAATGCACGGTAGGCCCTGTGATCGCATAAAACCAGCATGTCAATAACAATACCCAATCAATCTTAACTAATTGAAATCAAATTGTAAATGTCATTGTGTTACATTATTCAACTGGAAAGGAACACATGCCGCATGTACATAATTTAGGAACTTCTAATTGTTAGATCCTTTCAGCTCCAAGCATTATAATATGAAACAAAACTAAGAGATGATAAATATGGGTAGACAGTGAGAGAATGGTGCGAGAAAGGGAACCATTTTCCCTTGTCTTACAGAGACATGGCTAATAAAGTGCTGTCAAAAAAAATGTTCCATCGCTCAAGAAAACATTTAAATGGAAGACCTCATCATTTCTGTAGCTTTATGATGTAGTTCCGATCTGAAATAGTGGCATTCTACACAGACATAAATCACATGATTTAATGGATCTGAATATCTCTTTCATTGCAATCAAGCTATAGAAAGATTTTGTTTAAAGTCACAGCACGGGCACTCAGCTCAAAAAAGGAACAATTTATTGTGTTTGCCTTATTATGGAGATGCTCATGGCAAGCAATCACAAGAGAGGAACGTTAGCTCAAAGCAAACATATAAAGCTTAGACCAAATTTAAAACACAACAAGATGTCAATGCTTGATCAGATTCATTTCATCGGGCGCGCACAACAATAATGGCATCAAAGTTAAACATGCTGCCTAAAAAAATAAAGGCATATCCTCTAGCAGCAATAACACTTGTGTTCGTTCTCTAGGTACGTCCTCAAATGACAGTGTTTCGACTGCCAAAGGAGGCTCAAGATTCTAAGTGCCAACAAGCTAAGTACAATTAAAGTACCTCAATCTAATGCCCAATAATACTAGGAAAATTCCACAATCTTCGTAAGGAATCAAGTTATGACTACCCAAGATCCTTGAAAACTGAAGAATGTCATTTAAAACTCAATACATATGGCAGATTTATCCGTCTAGATATCCGGCAACAATCATTCTGAAAATTATCCTCAATAATGGAAGGATTGATGTAGATAAGAAGCTAATAAAATTCATCAAATTAACTGGCCAACCGAGTTAGGCAGCCTATGAAAAAGGCTATTCATACGTAAAGCCTTGAAAAATTGTACAGATGTTGACACCAAAGTCACATGCAAAACTGACTGTAATAGCAGTTGAATTGTGGTGGAAGAAGGATCATTGAAGTCGGGATGGATTTTGTATGTAGATGTGTGGTGGGCATGTATGGGGGATGTCATGAAAAAGTTGCCCAGTAGCACAGAAATTGAAAGGTGGGAAATACACATCAAAAACTGCACTAGAGATAAATGTCAAATAGAGGAACCACATTCCCTTACTGTTCTGAGTGACTTTTGAAGAAAAAAGACAAATGGGTCGACTGGACGAGAGTTTTCAGAGGGGACCGTGACAGGGACACCCTCTACCAGCTTTTCTCTTCAGATTGTTCAACTGAGAGGAATGTTGTATATAGCTATGGACAAAGGTTGGATAAGACTTTCAAAGAGGGCACAAAAAGGAATAAAACAATCACTATCTCAAAGTTCCTCTATGTTGACTCAAATTTTTATTGGAACAGAGGAAACAAGGCTAAGATATCTGTGAGTCACGACAATACTATTGGTTTTGTGGCAGTTTCTGGGCTTCATAAACCTGGCAAAGAGTATCTATTCCTCATTCTTGGAAGGATGTTGTGATAGAGAGATGGAGCTTTTCCAGCACCATGCATGGGACTTCCCTTTTAGGGGCAAGCAACAAAAATGCCTCAAAGTGGCAGGAGGTAATTGCTTCTTTAAGCTCTGCTCCAACCTATACAAGTCGAAAGTTTGGGAACAATTAGCCACTTGGAAGAAACATTACCCATCCATGGATTGTAAGTTGACCCTCATAAACCGTGTACTTGAGGGTATCCTGGTCTATGAAATGTCCCTATAACTCATAACCCATTCCGTCAAGAGTGGAGAGGCAGTTGGATAGAATTAGGAGAAACTTCGGAGGTAACTCTGGAAAGAAAAATTCACTTGTGAAATAGACAGCAGTGACTATTGTAACTGGTAAAGAAGGAAAGTGATTTAGCTGAGAAAAACTGAGGCTGCACAATACAAGTCCCTATTATTAACATGGTTGTGCAGTTAGTAATGAGCAAGAAAGTCTTGAAGAATGCCATCAAAGAAAAAGTATGCATGAATGAATCTTGGTGCACAAATCCAATATGATCATCTCATTGTTATGCAATGGAAACTTAGAATATATTGAGAGAGCCATACAATGTCAAAAAGAATGTTAAGGTAGATGATGGTGAAAAAAATATAAGATGGTGGCAAGATGCTTGGAGGTCTGGGTATTGGTGAACTGATCCAGTATAACTCACGGATTTGCAACATGAATATCTATAAGAAATTATGGGATGATTCTCTTCCAGGGTGAATCTTAAGGTAGGTGATGGGAAAAAGATAAGACGGCGGCAAGGTGCTTGGCTTGGATTCCTTAAAGGAGGTAATCCCATATCTATAGACCTTTTGCCACATTTTGTTGAAGCCACGAAACCTTAATGCAAAAATAAACAGAAAAGCTTAGATTCAAGAAGAATTGCCAGCACAATAGGTTCTGGAAGAATTGCCATGGACTGCGAGGTCTGCAGATGAGCCTGGGTCTTTTGAGAAATTAGAGAAGGAGGGACTAACTTCAGGATCTAATTCACTGTTTGATGCACAGAAGACTTTTCAGTCAAGTAAATTGACAAAGCCAAGCAACCACCAGTCACTGGGGCAAGAAAAATGTTTAAGAAAATAAAAAGCACCTTCAAAAACGGCATGTTCTGTCTATGTATAAAGTCAACCTAACTAGGACAGCCTGCAGAGTAAGGAAATCATTACTTGAAATTATGTTACACATGAAAAGGATTCTCAGGACCCAAGATATCTTCTTTTGCACTCTACTGTAACATGGAAGATCTAGAGTATGTTCCTAAATCTATTTCAATCTCGGTGGTTAAAGCACAGTATTGAAGAACACTTTTATAACCTAGAGAAGACAGAAACTAGAAAGACAGTTAAGATGGAATACAGTTCCACCACACATCCTTTGGTTTATGGAAAGAGAGAACCAATGCTTCCAAGGAAGAATAAATGTACCACATCGTTTCAATTTCAAATGTTTACAATCATTTGTAGATGATATAGATTTGTGGATGAACTTCATTAACTCCTTGCACAGTTAAAACTGAGACAAGCCTTTTCTAGCGTTACGTAAACGTAAAATACCAGCACTCTATTGGCACTATGTCGCAAGCAAATTTGCAATATTTATGAAAAAAAATTATGAATTGTCAAATTTCAGCTATGAGTTATAATAGAACTCAGATTAAAAAAAATAGATATGGCCAGATCAGTACAAAATTTCTACAATTTTCAACATATGATGCAATTTGCAAAACAATTCCCTTTTAAGAAGTGGCCAGATTTATTGGAGAGGAAGCATACCCAAGGAAGAACACATATTGTCCGGCCAGATTATCAACATTTCCACTTCTTTGCAAGAGCACCAACTGGGGAAGAATGGCAACTGCCTCCAGGTATATTGAGAAAGCCCAGAATACCTGGAACAACATTATACATAGCATCAATAGTGTAAACAGGGAGCGAGCAAATATAAATCCGAGAATCAAGACTATCCCAGAAAAGGAAAAGGAAACAAGTAACACGATCTCTACCACAGGGTCTTCGCGGAAATTCTAATCAGTCATTCAGAGAAATGAATGGCAGCTTATTAGTAGAGCACCCCGCAACCAAGTGTAAGGTTCAATCCTTACCAGTTCTCTCCCCACCCCCCACCACACCAAAACCTCCTCTCCACTTACCTTACCTCCCCACAAAATAAAAAGAAAAACTGAGTCATTAACAAAACAAACAGATGGGTCTGACTATAACGATACCATGAATACTGAAAAATCTCAGTATCTTTTTTGTCTCCTAATGTGCTAGGGTGATGGATGAGCTCATCTTTTAACAGCCAAGACGGACAAACAATATCTGGAGATGACCATAAGGGTA